GTTTATTAATTAAAATGATCACCAATTGTCGGACCGGTGTGTACGGAGTTGAGTCTTACAGGTACTTATTGACAGACTGACGGACTACTGATCAACCCCCTCGTAATGATGTTCATTGCTTTTTATATGTTAATTTTCAGGTCAGTATCGAATTGTGACATTTTGTTTTTTGCTGAATATACATTCTTGTGCTCGGTGGCTTTATTTCGGAGTGCTATTTGTTTTGCGTTTTGTCAGCTTTCTGCTGACGTGTGAATATTTTAGCAGTTTTGAATTTCCTGAATATGCATTTGTTACAAAAGAGGATGTGTCGTAAGGTGTAACAACTTTATTTCGGAGTATCATTTACCTCGCGTTTCGTCAGCTTTCTGCTGACGTGCGAATAGTTTTAGAAGCTTTGAATTTCACGAGTGTGCAGTTGTTACAAAAAGGATGCGTCGTAAGACGTAACAGTGTTTATCTAATTTGACTTTTCACGCGTGACGTTATAGCGAGATTTGCTGTTTTCTAAGTGCAAAACGTACGGTAGGTCATCGACTATACTCTAATACAATGCATCCATTACAATGGTAGCCCCGGCCAACCTTTTTCCCCTAAGTAATGTTGGAGAGAGCCATGCGTTTATAATCGGAGGGCTTTCTCTTGTTATCTTTTGGCTGCTTCCTCCATCTGTTCTTTGGTGGAAATCACTGTCATTTCTTTAATTTATCTCATGAATAAGAGCGAGAGGATTTTTACTACCTCGTCTCTTCCCGCGGCTATTTTTACAGCCTCAGCAATTTTGGCGCAGACTTGAGAGTCCGCCTTGCCGAGCTCGACGAGAACACAACTTTTTTTCATCTTACAGACGAAGTGGCCCTTACTTCTAGTTGGTCAATATCCACTCATTCCGTAATTTTTGTGATGTCTTCAGAGTAGGTCTTACCCTGAGTCAGTGTTACCAGTACCGCCTCCAGCCGGATCCTCCGCCGGATTCTCTTAGGTTTATTGACCTTGAGTTTTTCCTTCTCCTCAGCCATTTGCTTCTTTTACCCTTTCTTTCTTCTTCTTTTTAAGGGTTTGGATTTTTCTATCCTTTCTTTGTTGGATGTAGAGCGCGTGTGGGAAGGCTTACTTCTGCGTTTTTCCACTCGTTACCACACCTACCCTGTCCTTAAGGCTAGAGCATATCAGCCCAATTTGTTTGGGCGTCATTCTAACTTTCTTTATCAGCGCTCTTAGGATATCATTTGAATTTTCTTTGTCCCCTCTTTTTTTCTTCTTCTTCTTTGGAGTCTTTTCAATCGCACTATTCTTTCTGTCAGTCTGTACGTTCAATAAATTATCAATTTGTTTGGCTGCTTCTTTTATATCCTTCTTTATACTGGACTAAGTGGTGGTTTACTTTAAGCAGAGCACTTGCAGGTTTTTTATAGCAGTGCTCAAGCTTCACAGCAGCACCTCTATTTTCGCCGTTCTGTCCATTATTTTTTCGTCCCAGATCTCTTTCCTTGACAATGACGACAATAACTCCTGCATGGAATTTACAGCTGCTGCAGCTGCTGGTGATGCGCTCTGATCGGATAACTTTATAGACGACATAGCTCACAAAACGACAACATATAGTGAGCTATCCATGCGAAAAATTTCACCACATTTGGAGTCAAACGCCTTGTAGTACTTTTTGAGCCAGGTATGAGTGGGTCGAGACACTAGCGGGGGGCCTCCACTTTGCGATACGGGTGCGTTGGAGCCGTGGGCTTCGGTTGAAGTATTACCCCCTTCCTTCACCACTCGATTGCTTTACCCGATCAGTCAATTAGTTTATTTAAATCGGTTACTGTCCTAGTTGGCCTGATGTAAATTTCCCAGAGTATCTACGCAGCAACTAGGATACGGTATCCATGAGGATTTTAACCCGCTCACTGCTTTATCAATTACGCCAACCATTCAGTGAAGGAGTGTTCCCCGTTAATGATACAATTTGCTTGTGCCACATAACTTCGAGATCGGTAACGGAGACGCGTGAGTGTCCAGGGTGATTATCTAGTAGACCACTCTGAACAATCCACCGCAAACAAGTGATAATCTGACCTTCTTTATATAGACACCTTAAGAACGGACTCTGCCTAAAACCGTGTTGTTTGTCTGTTGGTGAGTTAGTTTCGTAATTGTCTTAGTGTAGTGATATGTCTCCAACGTCTTTCTCACCGGTTTTGGAGTTTAGAAGCAGGGATTTCCTCTCTCCCTGTCAGAACTCAATAGTTGCTGCCCGATTTTATGCATCACGACTTGACTCGGCGTGACAAACCCGTTTATAAAGTTCACGCTTCCGTCCGTGGGTTTATCAGTGGAAAATAGCTCGGTTTATAGAGATTCCATATTTACCCACTGTGAAAGAGCTGCAATTGTCTACATTGTCCGATTTCACTAGTATGGCACCACTCAATGAAGTAGGAGTCGTTTATAGATTCTCTCTTGTCTTTTCGTCTATGAAGTTAGGCAGGTCAGTCTGGTACATGTAACTTTATCAGCGGAAGAGCCTCTCTTTAAAGGGATCGTCACGTCGAACTTTCCTTCATACGTTTCGTTGTATCAGTTTCCTCGAGGACTCCTCTTTCGTTCACCGCCTATAGGTTTGTCGGATTTAAATGTATTAATGTTGTGCAGTCGTGTGCTATGAATATGTTATGTAGTGTGCTCTCTCATCCTCCTCCTCTTATAGGGTGGTCCATAAGAGAGTCCGGGGCTTAGGACTGGCATAGCGGAGTTATGGTACGTCAGACTGCGACATCATATGATTATCTTTGAAATCTTGAAAGATTAACGAGGGTTTAAAAACTATAAAACTTAAAGGAATTATTAAAAATTGCGAGGTATATGTAATGGTAAAGATGAATAGACAACCGTATAAAGAAATACGGAGTAGAGCAGATCATCCATTATAATTACCACATACAAATATAATAGGCCCAATTAAAATACAAACTTTTCAATGTCATAAAAGATTTCTAGTATTTTTAGACCATTTTTCACAATTTACCAAAACGTATGCTATTTTAAATAAATTAGAGGCAGAAAAATGATTAGAGAATTATTAAACAACAATAAGGAATTTAGTGGGAAAGAATTTTAGTGAATGTTATATCAGAGTAGAGTTTACCGTAGACAAGTTTGTAAAGATTATGATAAAGGAAAAATTAAAATCAAAATTCTTGAAGCCATATGTGTACATAGCGTGTTTATCAACCGTCGCATTTGTTTATTATTAAAAATGATCGAAAAAGTTGAACAGCGAATTTGCATCAAGTTTTGGTTTCAACTTTGAAAGATTAGTGCCGAAACGGTTACAATGATGCAAAAGGCCTTTGGAGATGAGTATGGGTAAAAGCATGGAGACTGTATATGTCTCCATGGGTAAAAGTCAGGTATATGAGTGGTACAAACAATTTAAAGATGGCCGCTATCTGTTGACAGTAACTCGTTTCGGTCGTCCTTCAAGTACAACAACACTGGAAAATATTGATCTTGTGCGACTCGCGATTGAAGTAGATCGTCCAGTAGATTATGTGGGAGCTACAATATGATTTTGGGATATCTAAAACCACTGTTTGGAAAATTTTAACCGAAAAATTGATAATGATAAATTAAACATTTGCCATATGCGCACTCTACTCGCATAAGCTATCTATTTCTAATATGTTTGCGTACTCTAGTTGCAGGTCGGTGCCTATTTAAGATTGCACACTCACGTGCTTTTGCCGATTCTCATCGCACTCCTTTGTACAATTGTCATCCGTGACATAATGTTATTTTATAGTTTAGCACATTATTTGTATCTTGTCATGCTCTAAAACACTTGAGTTCGTATTTTTTTCTTTGTACTAGTATTCTTCTAATATCACGAGCTCTAATTTTCCTTGCGTATTTCACTTTGAATTTCTGACAGGAAAGATCGCATTTTTCCGTACTTATTGTGCCAATACTTAATGTCTATTCTGTAGAAAAAGCACTGTTACTGAACACTGTTAGAATATCTTGCATATACATATATTTATATGCTACATAATGTTCATACACTGGCGTGTGTTCTGTGTATATTCGTGCCCTGTGCGACAGGCAACTTGAAATTCTCTCGCTCGATTGACAGTATTTTTTAGTAAAAAAATTACTTTGTAAGTGAAAACCTAGCCTTTTTTTATTTCCTACTATGCCATTGCGCCTATCAAACACGAATACACTGGTTTTTTAATTTTATTTTCTGTGTCTTACTTGAATCTCACATAAAATTTTACTGAAAATATGCAACGTATTTGTTATACGACCTCGCACTGGGCCTCGTTCTCTAAATAATTTATTCAGTCACTCTTGTTAGCATCGGCTCCTCTGACCAGGCGTAGTAAAATCATGTTCTCGAACGATAACCTAATGGATATAATAACATGGTGATTAAAATAAAAAGGCTGTGCTATGATTAACACATAGAACTCTTATTCAAAGATATTTTACTTTGAGCGCGTTAAATAGAAGTACCGCATAGGGTACGAACACATAGGCACCATGCATGCCGACGCATGCGCACTGTATAACATACAGTATATGTACATGCAGCATCCTTTTATTAAATGAAGAGTTTCTTTTATATTAAAGTTCAATCTTTTATTTTTACTAAGAGACTGTTGTATTCATGAATTATTTATTATTTATTAATCCTTGATATTCACATAGATTTTATCACTTTATTATTTAATATTGATCCAATCTAATTATGGGGACTGAGCCTCAGTTCTCAAATTGAAAATTGCATTTTAATCATTGAAATCAGTGACGAGCAAACAAATACCTGTTAAACTTTCTTCTAATTAATTGATCCAGAATGGATTGTATTAATCAAATTTTCGAAAAGTCGAAAAAATTGAGTTTTGGGTCTAACTTCCATGACCTGGAGAAGGTCTCATATTAGTGGCTAGATTTGAGGCTATGTTCAGCTTTTCAATTTCGGACAGTCTCCATGATCCAAACTGAAATCCTCTTTTTTCTCCTATTGTGCAACGCAGTCACCGTTACGTAGTTACATCGTAGTTTTTACGCACGCACACACATACATGCACACACACATATATATAAATATATAAATATCATTCACACAGTTGAGTCAAAGTTGTACTAGGCAAACTTGCCGGATGAACAGGAGCACCGTGAATTGAGAGAATATTCAATAGCCTTTAGGCTAGAATTTCGCGCTATTTGAGTGGCTGTAGGCGAACCACTTCCATTTCATAATTTAATTCTCGTTCAGGTTCTCCTTAACCAGGAATACATATACCCTAGTGTAATCACCATTGCTACTTTCCTGATTGAAGGTAGGTGAAGACGATGCCATTAGAAAAGGTCTACAAACGCATCGCCATGCTTGCTGTCGTACCGGCATGCAGCGCGAGCTGGCTCCGTAACTAATTTCCTCGCGCCGAAATTTCCAAATCGCTATTCTAAAACCATACATCTCAAGCTCTGTTCTTTGATTCTTTTACTATTGTATATCAATTAATATATCCATCCTCTCTCAGGTTTTAATACCTCTTCCATAAATAATTTCTCCATTTTCAAAAATTTCTGGGATCTGATCTTTCAACAAGTTGTAATTCAAGTTCATTGAATTGATAATCTAATATCCATATTGTAATTTTTCAAGGAAAACTGAAATAGTAATTATGTTTTGTATCTCATGGACCATATTTATCATATAATAATAAATACATATATTAAACTACTTTTTGTACTGAATTATTCTTACTGTGTTTTAATTACATGAAATCGTAATTTTGATTTCCATTTAGTACCTTCAATTAAATCTTCAATTAAATCTTAGATCTTTCAAGCAGTGGCTTATTATATTTAATCTCAATTAACATTATTTTTGATAAAGTGGTTAAGCAGGAGTAATTCTGAAATTTTAATTTTAATTTTTTATATTGTAGCTTTCCTGATTTGTAAAATATAAACATTGTAAATTCACAAGCTCAAGGTTTACTGCTGTTTTTAAATTTACCTTGCAAGACAGTATTAATATAGGAAATGGTCATGGAGGCATCCCCTTCACCTCAATGCGTTGGCCGTGAATTTGTCCGGCAATATTATACCTTGCTCAATAGAGCTCCTACTCACTTACATCGGTTTGTATTTTCTTCTATTTTTTTTAAATATTGAAAATTTGTTAAGTAATTTAAATATTAATTTGTTGATTTTCTATTTGACATTAGGTTTTATAACAACTATTCATCTTTTGTTCATGGGAGTGTAGATTCTAGTAGAGAACCTAATCCAGCAATAGGTCAAAAACAAATACATCAAAAGATACAAGCATTAAACTTTCAGGATTGCCATGCTAAAATTAATCAAGTAGATTCACAGTCAACTCTTGGTAATGGAGTTGTTGTTCAGGTATATAAATTTTTCTAGTAGAATCTGTATATTGATTTTATCATGATTTTTTCATGAAAATATATCTACGTTTACTAGGTCTCTGGAGAATTATCTAATGCAGGTCATCCAATGCGTCGATTTACTCAAACATTTGTTCTAGCAGCACAAGCTCCTAAGAAATATTATGTTCATAATGATATTTTTCGATATCAAGATTATGGTTATACAGATGAAGAGGACGAAGAAATAGAAGGTGAAAGTAACACTAATGAAAATGCTAATGAAAGAGAAAGTGAAGTTGAAAATACTAGACCAGAAAATGAAGAAGAGGATCAACAAAGTGAAACTCAACAATTGACAACTAAAATGTCAAATATTGATTTGCAGAGTCCAACACAACAAGTTTCTTCAATGAATCAACAGCAACAACAAATTTATTATACCATGCCTCCCCAGCAGCAAGTAATAAATTTTAATTACAATTTTTATGATTTATTCATTTCTTTGTTCAATTTCTAATTATTTAAAATTTAAATGATAGGTTCATCCAGTTATTCAACAAGTGACAATTAATGGCTCTATTCATGATGATTCTTCAATAATGTCTCAACAATCTATTCAATTACAGCAATCTTCTTTACAACAGCAGCAATATGTTGCTGAAACAGCTACTCAGGAGCAATATCAGCAAGATAATCAACCAAATTCACAACAGCAACAACAATTAACAAAAACTGATAATAATAGTACATCTGAGGAGATACATCAAGAACCAGAATCTGAACAGAATTACACACTATCTTCTGCAGGCAGTGATGCAGATCATCAAATCATATCTCAAAATATTAGTAATAATGGACCCAAAACATATGCTAATTTGGTTAAATCTTTTCCATCTGCTGGAACAACTAGTCCACAAGTATCAAAACCCCAAATATCAATTTCACCAGTAAGTATATTTATCAACTATATCATGAATTCCAAAAGATAAATTTTTATTAAATTTTTCCTTGCACATATTTTCAATATACTCTAAAGCCTCCCAGTTTGCGAAGTGATGACCGTGTATCGTCTTATCAATCTTCTGTGGGATTATCACTTTCTACATCTCCTGGTAGTCAAATAAATCATGTACATAGAGTGATTCCTCAACAGCCATCACAACAGCAACAGTACCAGCAAAGATTACCTCGAACTGGTGGTCTTATACAAAGAGGTAATCTAAATTTTTATTGAGTAGTTAAATAATAAGAACAATTAACAAATTGGTTAAACTTTTTATAACTCTACTGTGAATATTGAAGGCAAATTAGCGTGTATACTTTTTATTTAATTTATTTATATACTTATTATTTATTTATTATACTTTTTATTTAATTCTTTACAATTTTAGATGGTGAGCATCGAACTGGACGTCCTGGATTTCCTGATTCACATCAACTTTTTCTTGGAAATTTACCGCATAATGCTTCTGAAAGTGATTTACGACAAGTTTTTGAACGTTATGGTCGTGTAGCAGATCTTCGTGTGCATAGTAAGCAAAATGATCGTTCAAAAGGTCCACAAGGAACTAACTCTACAAGAGTTCCAAACTATGGATTTATCACTTTTGAAGATATGTCTGTTGTAAAACTAGTTTTGGCTGACTGTGTAAGTTTAATTACTTACAATTCTTTAATTAACGTTTTCAATTCACATTAAATTTTTTTGTATTCTTATAGCCCATTTACTTCCCTGATAAACATGGCCAAAAATTGAATATTGAAGAGAAAAAAGTTAGACCAAGAGAAGTAGCTGGTGGTAGTGGTCGATCCAATTTGGGTGATAATAACATGCGCCCATTGGCTACACAGCAACAACAGCGTGGATCAGGTAAAATATATTGACGTATAAAAAATTTAGTGACCTTTTATTTTCTAGTCTTCCTTTTTGAAATGCAATTATTTCATAGGCAGATAAAAAAATATTAATATTAATTCCTTTGGATTGAAATAGAAATAAGTAAACTATTGCAAGAAAAACGCTGTATTGTAGAAAAAATGTAATTACCTAAAGACAAACCGATTTTTAATTATTGAAATCAATTATAAACCAGTATAATTTTAATCTAGAATACTTGGGAAATAACTAAAAAATTTTCTATTAACTTTTTTTTATCTCCATGAAAATCTGTTTTGTCATGTAGTTTATCTAGTACATTATCACAGACTGTTGATGGTATAACCTCGAATAGTGAAAATTAACATACCCTGTCAAAATAAAGGGTACAAATTTCATTCAAACTTTGTACCGAATTTGTACAAGAAAGTGTACAAAGTTTGCACAAATATTGTACAAATTTTATATAAATCTTTATACAAAATTATTAAAAATTTGTAGAAATCTTGTACAAATTTTGAGCATATTTTATACAAATTTTGTACAACAGTTAAAAGAAATGTATGTATACTAATCAATTGTTTCCTATAAATTAAAAATATTTTATTATTTATTTTAATTTTTACTTTACAAAAGCGCTTTATTAGAATTTACATCTGAGAACTCATTTTTGATATACAATTTTTGGCTGTAAAATCATTTGAGTTATACCTGTAACTATTAAAATTTTTACCTATTGAATATCTATAAGCCAATCAGTAGAGTAAGTATTTTGGCACATAATTTTTAACAGTAACCGATTCTTCTATTACTTATTGTTACCAGTAAATAGAAACGTTTATATTTTTAACTTGTAATTATGATGATTAACGTCAAAATTTTTAAAATACTACAAAATTAGTAAGGACAGGTTTCTAAAATTCGAATATCCGTAAAGTTTGAATATCAAACATTAACTTTATAAAATGTTATATATATATAGATTTTGTTGTGTATGTTATTATCCCTCATTCCGTAAAAGTGTAAAAACCAAGTAAGTAGGCCTTGAAATCTCACTGTTATGCACATATTTTTCAACGTACCATATAATAAAATCATTTATATATTTCATTGGTTATGAATTTTTTAAATATATTTATTGATTGAATTTAACAATACTATTATAAAATGTAAAAAATAATTTAAACCTTTATTATAAATTCTTTCTAGTTTATTATAAAAGTTAAGTTTGTTGGTCTTTTAATCAGGAAATCGATGTTATACAGGCAAGTAGCTTTATTGCATTTAATGTAATGAATACTAAAGTAAAGTATATAAATTTTTATAGACATCAATTTTTTATAGAAAAGTGAATTCTAACTTATATGATTTTGAAATTTAAACATTTTATTTGCCATTAACAGTTACAGGTTGTAATAGCCTACAACTTGCAGAGGTAGACGCAAGTTCCTGTATGCAAGCTAATATAAAAAATACAATTGTAAACTAAAACTTATAACTACTATTAAGAGGATGCTTAAGCAAAATACAAATTCCTAGTTTACCAACTATCAAGTTTTTGATTAAAAATACAGATCTACATGATTTTGTTCTTGGTCATCTGAGAGTCATTTCCGAAGTAGTTTTTTATTTAGAATTAGAATCCTGTCAGAATTTGTCCATCACGTGAGGTTTTTTAAATATGCTCATTTAAAGAAGCGATGAATCGATTTTTTTGGTATATTTGTTGTGTTATAACATCGTGGAAAAATGTTTTTTTCTATAAACGGAGAGAATCACTTGAAAGATTACCTTTTACCTTTCAAAATCCTATTTTCAGATTGGAGATATTCTTTTTTTAATAGAGATATCGTTGATTAGAGTCAAGTATTTTCGCATATGTTTTATATGCAAGAAAATTAGCTGTTTCAAAACTGCTAAAATACTTGACTTTAATCAACAATATCGCGATGAAAAAAAAGAATTAAAATCTAAAAAATGGATTTTAAAAGGTAAGAATTAACCTTTAAGATAATTCTCTTCGTTTATAAAAAAAAAATTATCTATGATCTTACAAATATACCAGAAAACCGCCTTTTTCGCCTTTTTAGATTTCTAAAAAAACCTGACGTAGCGAACAAATTCTGACTTTCGATTTGAATTCTACACAAAAAATTACTTCAGAAATGACCCTTAATCGACTAAAAATAATCACAACCCCTTATTTTGAAGATCTGTGTAATTAAAAAATCAAGCATACATATTACACACACGCTCTAAGTTAAAAGTCTGTCTACACAAACACAAAATTACTAAAATTTCTAAGTTTTATATCTTAGTTAAAAATCAACTAACAGAACTCAGCGAGGGCTCATTTAAAAGGTCTTTTCAAATTCTTACAAAATATATGTCACCATTACTCTAAATAATTTTCCCTTAATCCTATGATAAAAAAAAATTTTTTGTATTTCAAAAATATTTGCTTATCTGCAAATACTTGGCGTTTTGTGAAAAAGAAAAAAAAAATATAGAAAAATCTTAAAGAAAGAAATTATTAGCTTTTTTTAAGTACTTTCAAGATTGCTACTGCAAATTTTTTGTTATTTAAATTCAGTGATCTTATTAAGCAATTTCTTCCAAAACAACGTTAAATTTCAGTTCTCCATATCTTTCAACATTCGAATGATACAAAAATGTTTATTTGAAAGAAAATACTTTATTTAATACAGGAAATGCCTAGAATTTTTTTAAGAAATAAAAAAAAAGTTTGTACCGTTTCATTTTTTTTAACTGACATTTTATGTCGTGAAGATGTATTCCTCGGCCGATCAACAAAGTTAAGCAGCATCGAGCGTGGCTAACACTTGGATAGATGACTGTTTTGACGACACAACTTTGTTTATTGGTTAGCTTGTTTTTACACGTAATAAGCTGAGTGGGAGGTATAGGGTGCATAGTTTCGATGTTTATACAACACAAGTCGTAGTTGCAGTTGGAATGGAAGCAACTTTAAATTTAAATTTTTTATATATGTGCTAGTCGCAGTGCTAGCCGCGCTTTATGCTGCTTAACTTTGTTGATCAGCCGAGTGTGCATCCTCCTAACACACCAAAATATCAGTTAAAAAAAGAAAAAGGTACAACATTGTTTTTAATTTTTAAAAAATGTCTGGATTTTTTTAACAAAAGAAAGCATTTTCTTTCAAACTAAGATTTTTGTATCATTCGAATATTTATAGATACGGCAAATCGAAACTTAACGCTGTTTTGGAAGAAAATACATATAAGATTGCTGAATTTGAATAAAAGAAAATATTGCAGCAGCAATTTTGAAAGTACTTGAAAAAAAAATACAAACTGCTTTTCCTTTTAATTTTTCTATGATTTTTTTTCGCAAAACTGCAAGTACGTACTTGGAGATGAGCAGAAATTTTCTTTTTTTATGATAGGATTAAGGGAAAATTATTTAAGGTAATTGTGACATACAAATTTTGAAAAAATTTGAAAAGACCTTCCAAATGAGCCCCTTTGAGCTCTGTAAGTTATTTTCCAACTGTGATATAAACCTTAAAAATTTTAGTAATTTTGTGTTTGGGTGGGCAAAGGCTTTTGCCCGGAAGTGTGTGCGTCCGCATGCGTGCGTGCGCGCGCGCGCTTGTGTGTGTGTGTGTGTGTACGATTCATGATGGACGGCACACGTGACTTTAGAAAATGACAAATTCCGGCTTGTTACTACACAATCTCATTTTATGAATTCCGTTATTTGAAATTATTATTTTTTTTGAAATTATTTGGAGTGCGGGACAGCTCTTACTTTCATAGAAACATACGTGTTTTTTTTAATGTAAAGGGTAGCTATTCTTGACTGTTTTATATGTCCCGTAACATCAAGTTCACCAATTTTGTTCAAAGTTAATGCACTTATTACCTATATTGGGGTTAACATGCATGCATAGTTTTATAACAAAATTTTGATAACGGACCGAGTTATCATCTGTTGAAAAAATATGGGATTTCTTTTTAATTCAATTTTTCGAAGATTAATAGTCATCGACATGAATTTTTTTAGATCGTCAGAGGGACTTTTACTTTCAAAATGTAAATGGTTAAAAACCTAGTTATTTATTTATGCCGTTGTTATACATAATTATTTAAACAATCAACAATATGTCAAAAGCATATTTTCTCCAAAAATTATTGCACTATCGTATTCCATGTCGTTTTTTTATATAAGAAACCGTAGTAACAAATGAGTACTTGGTAGTAGGGTTAATACAGTTAATACACTGAAATAAAACAAACTACGTGTTATCTGTTCGGCCGCCCGCTGCTCATGTGGTACAGGTCTAATGCTGAACATGCAAACGCCTTTAACTAATAAATAATATATTCTTTCACTCTCTAAGTACTTCTTGAAATAATTTATAAATAAGTTAATTATCAGCCACGACAGATATACACACACACATACACACACACACACACACACACACACACACACACACATACATACATATATATATACGGTCTAAACTATGCTATGGAAAATTCCTGTATTTATAATGTTGGCTTGAAACCTATGGAAAATTCTAGACAAGGTTAACATAGACCTGAAACTAGCTACCACCAACTACTTGTGTCACTTAACATTAGATATGTTAAAAGCAACATTTTGAAAACTGTGATTTTAAAGTTATTTGCATTCTCAAGTGTTACGTTTCAAATAACACGTTAAACACTGCACGCAGCAAACGTCTTTAACGAATAAATATTTTCATATTATATCATTCTGTATGTATTTCTTTATATAATATACGAGGTGTGTTCAAAAAGTAAGGTGAATTTTTATTTTTATGAAAAAATATTTATTCATCAATATTTATGTTGTCCCCTTCAAAGTAATCCCCCTCAGATCGTATAATACACTTGTGCCAACGTTTTTTCCAATCCTCGAAGCACTTCTGGTAAGCACTTTCTCGTATAACCTTGAGTTCTTCCAGCGATTTTTTTTCTTTG